AGCAAGTTTCTCTTTTTCATTTTTTCAATATATTAAGGCGCTTATTTAATATATGAATTTTTTACACTATTGTAAGTTAGTAAATTTAAATACATCTTCTAATTTTTCATGTTCTAACGTTTGTGAAATGTGAAAATATTATATTCCGACAGTCAGACTCGTGCCACAATATGAGAGATATTATACATATAATTTCTGAGTCATTCACCGGTAAAGCTATTTAAGAGACATTTGACAAGAGGTTTATGGTTGCATTTGAACGATCGCACCGACTACGGACATATTTTCGGAAAACAGAATTAGGCTCGTATCGAGCGGCGCCCACCGTGCAGCTCTAAATCGCGGGCACCGAGCCGAGTTAGGCCCATTTATCTCGTGCATGAATATGCCTAACGACTGTCCAGACGAAAAAAGGAAAAAACGGCGGCGACGCGGCGCGCACGGCCAATGGGGAATGGCGAGAAATCGATATGACTTTAATCCGTAGGCTAAAGGCCGATATCCGCAATCGGGAGAGCGAAAGTGATTGATGGATGCCCATAAATACATAATCACGGCTCATTCGGCGGCGGTATAGCGCCGACGGACGACGAAAAATCGGGTCCTCGTCGTCGAAGAGCCGTCCGCCATTCTCGCGGTCGAAATTTTTAATCCGAAACGCGCTATCGCGTTACACGGATTTCCTCACCGAAATATACGCGCCACTCATGCAAAACGACCACTTTCTCACTCGCTGTATAATTTTTGATTGCTCACCACTTATAATAAGGATGAAGTTTTGGAAGAAAACACAAATGAGAATATAAAGACATAAAAATAAATAGCAGATTTTAAAAATTAAATAGAAGTGAAGAACAAAACTGTGGTACCGGCCTTTATTCCTAGCGACAAAAATTTAAAGCTGGTTGTAAATAATATCGTCATTTCTCATTAAAATAAATATCAACAGATCTTTAAAATAATCATATACACAAGAGCATAAAATAAATAAAATTAAAAATCGATAAAAATTATCACCAGTAATCCCGAATAAATTAGATACTTATCTGCGACCATTTGAATTGCCGATACCTGTCATCGTTTGCAGGCAGATATAAATTTTCAAGTACTCGCTGTTGTTCCTTCGGCAATCGCGCATTTAGCAAAATACTTATCATATTTCGTCAATGTTTTGCAACTAACGGAGCGTTCAGTCGTCGAAAAAAATTTACCTGTCAAGGACCGAGCTTTGCCGTAAACGTCGCTTTCTCCGATCTACCTCGTGAAGAATTCTCCGCGCTACACGCAAAAGAGATTTGCAATCCATCGAAACAGACACGCACGCACGTTTCGGCAATTTTGCAAGCGCAACCAGGACCGAACGGCGGGACGAAGTGGAATTGAGCGGTAAAAAGCGCATGCCGGATCGTTCTGCACGACCCGGCTACGATTGAGACACCGGTACCAGACCCAAACATATTATTTGCTCGAAAAAATTGTCAATATATTCATTATATCCGGTTTACTCGGAACTGTTTTCGCGGCGAAACGCAATTAACACCTTGAGGATGTATTAGGGACTTTTATTTGTAAGAATGACCCGTACAATTTGTTTGAAATCTCACGATAGATACTGGGTCCGCGCAAGCTCGTATCTAGGGTCCGCTGGGGGTTCGCGGGGGGGAGTAGCGGGAGGTCACCAATGTGTCATTAGGCGGTTCCGCAGATCCAATCACCAGAAAATGAAGAAATCTGCTACCGTACAGAATATTTCCTGTCGTATCTCGAAGATTTGAGAACTCAGAGAACGCAACCGATCGAACGACGATTTACATATATATACTTATCGGCCGAAAACGGAAATATGTCTATATATTCTTAGCGAAAACATGAAAATTAATATCAGATATATTCATATATATATATATATATATATATATATATATATATGAAAAAGCTAAAATTATACTAATTTTAATTCTTGTTAATACATTTGTTAGCAGGACTAAATCAGCAGTATGGAAGAGCAGAAGTACGCGAAAAGATTTCGTTGGTATCACATCGAAAGTTGAGCAACAAAAGAGACTGAAGTCGAAAAAAAATCGCGTACGAATCGCATCACAATGCCGCACGCGTAAAGCATGTAAACATGTGAGTAGCTATCGGCGCGCGCGAGACGCGCTGCTTTTGCATGGATTCAGTTATCGAAATCAATACGGTCTGTTTAGCACCACGCATTGAATGATCGAGAAGTGTCAATGTGATCGAATTTAATCCGCAATTCCTTCGCTTCGAACCGAAACGAGTTTACCAAGTTTCGTATTTGCACAAAACGAGAAAAATATTCCAATAGGCCAAGTATTTTGCATCGGCAAAACAACTCAGGCACAATTCAAAAAATACTATTTTTTAAGAATAGATCGCATATTTCAAACATTTATCCTGCACAATGTATCAATTCTATCATAAAAACGGTTTTTTCTATTAAAAAAAAAACATGAATATTAATGTTGCTCTTCATGAAAGCTAGATATCTTGATTTGCAATAGTCTACTTTGAAAATGTAATTTGCTGTTTGCCCAATGTATATACGAAAAAAATTCTGCTATGATATATATAATATGTATATGAATCAAAAGTAAGAAATAAAACTTTGCGCATTATTTTACAATAACAAGATTTGCATATTATTTGAAATATTCAAGCGTAAAAGCTGCATGTTACATCCGACGGTCAGAAACATATCTCGTATAACTATGAAGAATAGCAATCAACGCAAAAATTATATGTAAATAAAATATTTAACATTAACAAATCTTAAAAAAGCCTATATTAGTCCACGTAGTATATAGAAATGCAATAGTTGCATTCATATTTCTTTAAATTAAACGTAACAATAAATATACGTAAATTGCGCATTTGATTTAAACGCGTGTGATATGTGATTTTTTGACAGATTTTATATAAGCAAATGTAAAAGGCTGTATCGAGGCTATCCCGCAATTCGTCGCATTTGACCGTCGCGTTAACAAGAAACCGCAAGTGACGCGAAGCCTGCATGATTAATTCTTCGAAAAGAAATAAACTAAATTTTGTGATCTTTGTGATGTGGTAAATTTTAATTCAAAATTTAGATAAATGTGACGTCATCTACGTTATAGAGTATTATAGATATAATCATATAAAATTGAAAATAAAGAAATATAAAACTAGATACCGCTAAAGTAGATTTCTTAATAATCACAAGAATATTTGGAAAATCACACAATATAAAAATAAATAATTTGCATTATTATTATACTGTATCATATAGCGCTATTGTAGTATCTTAAAGATTTATTGAAATATGATTCATTAAGTTTGTGCTCACTCCCGGCGCTAAATATATAAAAAGGGGATTTCAATGGTACTTAATTGAATTATCATAGACAGCTATTTATTACCCGAATAATGTTGCAATTATTTATCACGTTAGTACAGAATAATGAAGAAATAATGCGCCTAATTTTTGACACGTTAGAAATGTTTACGAGACACGGTGAATGGAAACGCGTTTCGGAGTAGCGATGCCTTTCATCATTGAGAACAACGACGGAATGTCAACTTGCTGCTTGTTTTAATTAAGCGTTCGTAACGTCACATGCATTTGTCATCGCGCAATCTGAGTGAATGAAAATTACAAAGCTCTGCGCTACCTCTGAAAATCTAACAAAACGCTGCCTGTTCGAAAGATGCGTATAAATTTGCATGTGAAACACGATTAAAGGCAATAATTCGGAAACAATATGCGATCTTGAAGTGAATACTCAGCCTATGATAGCGCGAGCGTGCCTGAAATCAGTGAGGATTCTTCGCGGCGAGTTTCGAAACGGTCTCGGCGTAAATATTCAACAGACGATCCCTATTCGGATGCTCTCGGATCCCACACGACTGTTCAGTAGAAGTCAGCGGTGAACCGACGAGGCGTCGCGACTCACAATCGAGGCCAGAGGAAATTTACTCCCCGGTGTTGTGCTATGATTATCGGACGTAATTACGCCGCGGTCAAAGTCGTCCGATTACGATGTGTGTAATCGACACGTAAACACGAAACGAGCCTGCAAGACTCGCGGCAAATTTATCGCGGGCCTCTCTTCCTCTCTCTCTTTCTCTCCCTCCCTCCCC